TATAAACGGAAGATAAGTATATATCGTATCTAAAAATTCAAATAATACCATCACGTACCACGACCCGAACCACGAATGTCCACGAACCAACACGCCCATTCACGCCCACCACGCCCATCACGCCCACCACGACCGCCACGACCACGACAATCCCCACGACCGCCACGACCCACACGACCACTACGACCACCCACCTCGACCACCCCGACCATCACGACACAACCACCACCACCACGACCACCACCACGACCACCGCCACGACCACCACAACGACCACCACGACACGACCACCACCACCACCACTACCACACCACAACGACCACCACGACTGCCCCGACCACCACCACCAACACCACGACCACCACGACCGCCACGACTACCACGACGACTATGACGACGACTACCACGACTACGACTGCTGCTCCTGCTGCTGCTGCTACTACTGCTGCTGCTGCTACTGCTCCTGATACTACTACTACAACTACTACTACCACCACCACCTGCAAGTGAAGCCTTAGAAACACATCATTCACTTCTGATCTTCCTCATCGTCGTCACTCCAGGTTTCTTTATTTCCTAGCTCTGTGGCATCTCTGATCTGACGAGGCACGCTGAGCAACAGTTCCTGCAAGCAGCAGAACCATGATTGGGAGCAGGAAGAAAAACAGAATTGCAACAGCAATAGGCGCGCTTTGAAGAGCGACATCAGTGGTGTCAGTACCGGCGAAACTCAGAATGGGAACATGATGCTTCAGATGCTGCATGTTTGTCGTGCCTTTTGCAGCCATAAAGGGGCGACCAAAAATTTCGGAACGATTTTGGTCGACCATGCGCGTCACAGAGTTTCGGAACACTTAGAGCCCATGATTTTCCAAGCGAGCTCGTCGTTTATTGAAGTATAAACTTGACTCATCATGACTGAACTTATTGTATAAGATTTGGAACCGGATCCAACTGGATTTGGCTAACATATACAAGAGCACAGCGGATACAAGGATCTCTTTTTTTGTCATTGTCAAGGTTGTATATTTCCGAAGAAATGGACAAGATTGTCAAGATATTCTGATTTCCATAATTTTCATAAAAAATTTTGGTGTTTCGTTAAGCCATATCGAAATATCTCATTCAGATTCCAATAATATCAAAATCAATCTGCTCTCCTGTTTTGCTCTTGAAAACATTCAGGCCGCAGAGTCGCGAAAAAACAATGCCCAACCAGGGACAGCCAGGTGATCAATCTTTTTGATCACCTCAGGCCTGTCCTTAATTCCTCATCCAAGAACTCAGCGGTTGTGAAAATGCGGCAGCACGCCGGGAAGTCCTCTGCTCCAGCCCACCATTTCGGAGAGATCTTGCGCAAACTCTAGGGAGGCCCTCGCCCCTTCACCTCAGCGCTTCAAGGTCAAGAGTTCAGTTCCTGCGGCCCCACATTCCGAGAAGCCTGAGCTCTCCGTGCTGGTTGATCTTAACATCTCTCCCTGCCTCTCTGCATAGGCAGAGCGAACCCTCGGGCTGAAGGCAAGGTGTAAACAAAATTGCTCTGAATTCCTTTCCGGGGTCTAGATGGCGGGTCGGGCCCCGGGTGAGCCCGTGGTCGCCATCCCTCTCTATCTAGGGGGGTTTGAATTCGACGTGCTCCATGTCGGGAACGGGCTTCAGTGCAGGTAAATACACGCACACACATCCATCCATCCATCCATCCATCCATCCATCCATGCATGCATGCATGCATGCATGCATGCATGCATGGATGCATATGTTGCGTTACGTTACACTACATCGAAGCAAGACTAGTCTGTATGAAAATAGGCTGCAAAGCATGCGACCCGGAAAGTGGACGAATCGCCCCATGTCTGGACCAAGACGCAGTTCAGGTCGGCGGCTGGAATGTCTGACCGAATGAAGGTAGCAACCAAAACCTTGGTGTTCTGTCCGCTGCGCACCTCAGATTCTTTCTGTAGCTGGAAGGCATTCTTCGTTATCTGTACCTCGAACTTGGGAGGGCCTGGATTAGGCGGTATGAGTACACAGCTGTCAATTTATGCCAGAACACACTCGTCAAATTTGCTCCATCTGGTTTCAGGATATTTAAGGTGTAAGCTGGATCTTGGAACTAGTCCATCAGTTGATTTTGCTCAATTCTGCTCCCAATTCATCTAGCATCTGGTTCTCCCTTTGCTTCTCGCGCTTGACAGAGACTGCCCACAGAAAACTGGACCATGTGACTGTGAAGCCTTTTGGCAAAGGGAACTGCTGCGGGATAATGTAGCCTCCATTGCATAACATGTCCTAAACATTAAGCCTGGACGACTCAACAACCACAACCACCGACTCCACCTAGCAGCATCGCCGCTGCATCATCTTCACCACTCCACATCACTACTACTCGTAACACCGCAACTGCCACCACCAGCGTCTCCAACGCAACCACCAGCAGCACCACAGATGCCAAATTCTACCACAGGTGCCGAGACCGCTGCTGCTGCTGATGCCGCTGCTACTACGACTCTGACTGCTAAGGCCGTAAAGGCTGATATGAGACAAATGGGACTGAGCAAAACTTTAAAGACTATCGATCCTCACAATTACAAAGCAGGCCCGGGAGCAGAGAGTCCACGAATGTACTCGAGCATGGCAACGAGCATGATATTGTCCTGCTGCCCCCCAAAATCTGAACAAAAAACGTCTCGCCGCCCTGGACCCGCTCTTTTGCAACAAGGCTCAACCAGCGAGGCCTTCCGATGGGATTACAGTAGAGTTTGGAAGCAATGCCGGCATAAATGGCATGAAACCTTGTCCAAGCTTCCGGTCAAACAAACGCTGTGATGGTACCACTGCTACCGCACCGCTTCTGGTCTCTGCTGCTTCACATGTATAGACTCGCAGTTCCGTTGATGACGGTATTGAAGCCTTTATGAACATGCATATGCAACCTGTGTTCTTCACGCACTGCGGTGACAGTAAAAGGCAATGTAGAAAGCGTTACATCATGTCAGTCTGGTGTTCGTCTCCACCACGTGCAGCTCGTGCCGGTCCGCGTGTCTGTCTGTCTGTGTCTGGTTGTCTCTCTGTGTCTCTCTGAATCTCTCAATCACACTTGTCTTTCTCCCTGTCTGTCGTTTCCCCTTTAATACTCTCCCTGCCCCGACTGTGCAAGTTGCTTGTTGAGGTTGGTGTCATCAAAGTTCAATAGAAGGCATGTTCAATAAGAAAAGTTACTAACTGTATTGCTTGCCTGGTGCGGGGCATCCCGGTGCTGCTCCCTTCTCAGTGGCCGTGACCGATCTGGCGGCGGCGGATGTGAAGCAAATCTGCCTGATTTTTTGCAACACGCGTCTGTTTGCTTTGCTTTGCTCCGGTGGAAATGGGCAGCCGGCAGCCGAAAAGTATCACTGAAGAAGCCGGATCCAAGCCAATGATGGAGACACCATGCTCGCAGAAGTGCCTTCCGACAAAGTGCGAACCTGATCCCAAAGCCCCTGTCGAGCAAGTACGTGGGACACGCAAGTGAAGTCGTTGCGAGTTGACCAATATAGAAATCCATGGCAGCATTGCACCAAAGTTGCACAGGTGACCTCGGGAATGGCCAACCACAGCGTAAAGGGTACAAAGTCCAGTGGCACGTTTGCCAACGTGGTTTCCAGCTGACTTCCGGGAGAAAGATGTTTCGGGCATCCAACTAAAGTCGATCACCCCCTCCGGCGGGCTGAAGGTATAAAGATGTCGAAGCACAAGTCGCTCCTTTTGCTCACCAGACCACACAAGGGGGTGCTTCATGTCGCCCCAGCGCGCATCCATGGGTGAGGGATCAAACTAAAACTATTTCAGGGATAAAAAACACTATTTTCCAGAGCTAAAAAAATTGATCTTTTTCAGAAGCAAAGTCCCTGCCGTGCCCCTGCCCCATGCCCTGCCCGTGCCTGCCTCATACCCTGCCCCCTGCCCGACTTGGACGGGCCCGGATTGTCACACTGTGCCAAAAAAACGCTTCTTTGAACCGCTCCCAGATCGTCACGGACCGCCCCCCAAATTGTCAGAAGGGCCAGGGCCAGGGCAGGGCCGGTGGGGCCTGGGCCAGGGTAGGGTTGGGGCCTGGTTACCTGCCCTGCGCTCTGTTGCTGGGCTAGGCAGGGCAGGGAAGCGGTGAGGGTCACAGCCCCCCCCACTTGCAAAGGCAACGACCTGATGGGTTTTGTCTTTGCTGGCAAAAAGATGCAGTTATGTTCTTGTCGAGTTCTTCTTGATGGTGCGATGTTCTTGAAAGCAAGCCTGCACCGCTAAAAAACAGCAGCGGGGTTGGGGGCCCCCACACTTGCAAACACAACGTCTTTAACACGACAGGATGATATTTGAAGCGATCCTGTGCGCGTCAAAAAACGCGGGGGTTGGAATGGACGCAACCATCCCTCCTTTTTGCAAACTCGAACGCCTGTATCATGAGGTTTGACAAATTCGAGAACAACTATGTGCTTGACGTAGGTATTGTTGAGGGCGCGATGTTCTGGAAAGCAAGCCTTCGCGATTTAAAAGGAAAAGCCGGGGGGTTGGGGCGGGCGCAGCCCCCCCCACTTGCAAAGGCAACGACCTGATGGGTTCTGTCTTTGCTGGCACAAAGATGCAATTATGTTCTTGTCAAGTTCTTCTTGATGGTGCGATGTTCTTGAAAGCCAGCCTGCACGGCTCAGAAAGACAGCGGGGAGGTTGGGGGGGCGCAGCCCCTGCCACTTGCAAACACAACATCTTTATCATCACGGCAGGATGGTATTTGAAACGATCTTGTGCGTGTCAAAAAACGCGGGCATTGGAATGGACGCAACCCTCCTCCTTTTTGCAAATTCGAATGCCTGTATCATGAGGTTTGGCAAGTTCTATAACAACTATGTGCTTGACGTAGGTACTGTTGATGGTGCGATGTTCTGGAAAGCAAGCCTTCACGGCTTAAAAAGAAAAGCGGGGGGGTTGGGGGGGGGCCACAGCCCCCCCCACTTGCAAAGGCAACGACCTGATGGGTTCTGTCTTTGCTGGCACAAAGATGCAATTATGTTCTTGTCGAGTTCTTCTTGATGGTGCGATGTTCTTGAAAGCCAGCCTGCACGGCTCAGAAAGACAGCGGGGAGGTTGGCGGGGGGCAGCCCCTGCCACTTGCAAACACAACATCTTTATCATCACGGCAGGATGGTATTTGAAGCGATCTTGTGCGTGTCAAACAAAGCCAGGGTTGGAGTGGACGGGTGCTTGGTGTATTGTTGACGGTGCGATGTTCTTGAAAGCAAGCCTTCACGGTTAAAACAACAGAAAAGCGGGGGTTGGGCAGCCCTTCTTTCTTTCTTCCTTTCTTTCTTTCCTTGGTATTTTGCTTATGTAAAATATTTTTTGATCCCGGAAATAGTTTTCTTGATCCCTGAGATAGTTTTTGTTGACCCCTATCCCAGCGCACGTGAGGTCGCGACACACCGCATGGCCACGCAGAAACGTGAAGTTACACCAGGGCGTTTGATATCACACCACAAGCATAGCTGCACATTGAAGTCACACCACAAGCATAGCTGCACATGGACGTCACACCACAAGCATAGCTGCACATTGACGTCACACCACATGACGTTTGGGTTCAGGATTTCGTACGCTGACGGAGCCCGAAGAGGCCATGGAAAGTTGAATTTACCTGGGCGCTTACAATTGGCCCACTTGGCCTATCGGTGCCTATGCAAAGGCTAACTTGGCCCGCCGGAAAGTTATGCTCTCACAGCTCCAGACACATCAGGCGTAACATAACATGACACTCACCCCACGGCGACCTCACATGCAAACTAAATATTTGCAAAGTTCAAGTTTTAGACCAGTTTCTTTCAGGCGACAACAACCACACGACAAACTCTTTCTTTCTTTCGCCGGGGCTAAGGTGTAGGGACAGTTGCGGGGCGAGGAAGTTGCATGCATGCCGACGGCTCCCGATGCCAAGGGTGTGCATCCCTCAGCAACTGGACGACGGCCAGCAAGTTACAAACCTCTCTCTCACTCTCTTTCTCGTGAGACACACACACACACACACCAACATCAAGTCACGCCTCAGGGCCTTGCAGCCCCAGTGCGCACAGGTGTTTCGCCAAAATATCTTTTGAGACGTACTTGGCTAGCACATCGGCGCTGTTATGAACACCAGGCACCTTGCACAGCGCAAGGCCATGGGTTTACCTTCCGTGCTATCGGTACGAAGGAACAAGTGCACCTTCGGAATCAACTGCTCCAACAGACGTGAACGCACGAACACGGCATCAGCAGCGCCACCACCTATGGCATCAAGCTCAGCGTCGCCTGAGCTCAGCGCTACCGTCTGCTGCGTTCTCGAATGCGACTGCAAGTTACCTTAATTCCCAACAGGTACGTAGTAACACCGGAAGTGGATTAAGTGGATCGCCTCGAGTCAGGATCAGCTGCCCAACCGGAATCAACATAAGTGCGCGCATCAGGTGACGAATGCTTTTCAGACAACCGAAGATTAGGGTGAAGTTCTTGCTCATAATCCTTGGTACCAGATAGGTACCTCAACAAGTGCTTAAGTTTAGCTCAGTGGTCGGTCGTCGGGGCATCAAACCCCGCGACAATTCTTTCAGCACACACATGATGTCCATGCGCAAGTTGCACATCCACAACAGTTGTCCTACAAGTTTAAGGTATCGTTTACGTTATTCAGGAGCAGGTGCATTCAGACCTTGCTGTCAGGATTGAAGTAGAGATTAAGAGCTTTTCATGCGTTTGAAGTCTTGGGCCTGAAGCGTTGCAGCTAGATTGGTTTGCCATGACGCCGGCGCCTTCTTCAAGCCATAGAAAGCACGCGTGTAAGTTTCCACACGACACCCACTTCGGGGTTGAGCACTATGGACCCAGATATCACCATCGACAAACGCAGGTAAACATGCGGCGGATATGTCATTCAAGGAAATATGCCAACCACGAGCAACTGCCAAAGTCAGCAAGGTTTTCAAGGCCAGGAGAGTCAAACCCGCGGACAACGAACCTACACCGAGAAGTACCATCTCCCTTCCGAACTTTAACCCACTTGGTGGAAATGACAGAGGAAAGTTGCTCTGGAGTCAAATCAGAAATCTTATTTTCGGTGAACACATCACAGTTGAGCATGCTTTGCATTTCCTTTTTCATCACAGCCTTCTCTTCTTCGCAAGTAAACTCAGGAAGCTGCCAGAACAAGGGATTACTCAACCGCTCCGCGAGTGAAATTCCTCTTCATCTTGACTCGCGCTTACGAAACATCAGATCTTGCTTGGCAGTAACCGCCGATATTCGCAAGTCAAAGATACTCATCTCGACATCACCAACACGAACAAGTGAGGAAATACGCTGAATTTTACTCGACGCTGCAGGCACATCTGAAGTTTCCCGTTTTCTCCCTGTGGCACAGAGAGTCGAGGTCGCAAGACTGAGGATGCTTCGGAAGGTAGCGCCTCTGCTTCTGCAGACCGCTTCTCATCAAGTTTCCCTCTTCCATCGGATTTCTGGTACAGCGATGTCCGCAGAAGCGCGAACCTCCGATGGAGATGATATATCCTGAAAATACCCCTCAATGATTTCCTCAACTGTCTCATCAACCTCACGCTCACCCAAGTCGTCAATCACAGGCTCCTTGTCAGGTGCCTACTCAGGTTGATGCTCGGCCAGTTTCACAGGTGGGAACACTGTGTTTCAACATTTGTGTCTTTCGGGCCCCAAGGCGTGGCCTTAAGTGGCTCAACCGAGGCACGGTCAAGCTACCTCAGCCTTGGGAAACGTGCCAATTTTGCGAAGGTGAACCACTTTCTGTAAAGCGACAAAGTGAGCCGCATACGCTTCTCAAATGGTGTAAGTCCGTCACTCTTGTGAGCATAACGTTTCATCAACCAGCGCGCATGTTTTACAAGCCAAGTGAACAACGGATGGGATGGTTTAAGTGAAAACCCGCTGCAGCGATTCTCCAAGTCAAGCTTGACGGCACGAAACCGGGCACAAAGATTTGATTGAAGTACTCCTACTGCGCCTTGTGCCTGTTTCCAACCAGCAGGGGAATATCTCACAGACAGTCCGCCGACTTCTGAAATGAGTTCAGCAACCAAAGCTTTAAGCGATGCTTCAGGATCTGTCTGAGTGATGCCGAAGGTGCGCCCAACTTCAAGAACAAACCGCCGAAGTTCTGCCTGTCCATATACAGGCCGGCCCTTTGCGGGAACAACGCATGAGAGCCTCATGCCAGAGAGCAAGTCAACCGCAGTAACGAGAGGGACTCTGGACTCGGGGCTCTTCTGAATCATCTACCAAGAAAATGTAGTCAAGTTAAACGACCGGCTGCTTTGTCTCAAAGTGCGGCTGTGATTCTGCTTACCTTGGCCTTCACACACACCGGACACCACGACCGGAAAGGGCAGGTAAGTGTGCGAGTTCATAGTTCATGTTCTTTGCGTTCCGTGAGGGTAGGCTCCGACGGTGCCGGCAATGTCCTTTTGGACGCTGGTCCGATGTCTCAGACAAGTCAGGCTCAGCAACTTCCGGAACGTCTCACGCACATACAGATCGCAAGTTTCCAGTCGTCTTACAAGCACTTTATGACTTCACCTCCCGAAAGTTGAATAGTCACTCTTAAACCACTCAACTTGCGACTTAACTCGTCCGAAGCTGCAGATAAACATTTACTCCAGGGGCCAAGTGTTTGGCAAGTAACCTGGCATGGACCAGTGTGAGCACGGAAGTATGAATTTTATCGCTCTCTCCCTTCCTTCCTGCGAGGGCAGATCCAAGCGTGTTGGAACCGTGCCTAGGCGCCCCTTTTCCCATTCGTTGTAAAACGACTGACGCATTGGGGTCCTGAATGAAAAGGGTTGGGCTGCTCGGTTCATTGGCCTGTGTTGTCGGCTGAGTACGGCTGTCGTTCAAACCTCCCCCCCCCAGCCGTGAACACTAAATCCCGCATCCCGGCCTCGTCCCCGCACCGTCTCTGGCGTGTCTTTAGTATCTATAGCTACTACCGCTGACTCCCCAACTGGTTCTTCCACCTAGTGACTTTATCCAACAGTAGTTCATGCAAGGGCGCTTTTTTTGGCATCAACAATTGCATCGACACAGCGCAGATCCCTGTACGATTTGAATTTGTCCCATTGCTCTGTGCTGGTTGTTGAGTGGCGCTCGTCTTCAACAGTAAAACCAAGGTACCTAGCATTTTTCAGCAGCCGTAAACCGAGGTAAACAGCCTCAAGCATTGCCCCATTGTAGTGCGCGTGTCCACTTAAGTGGGGGTTGGAGTCCAACGGTTGGAGCTGCACAGCACACAAGTAAGGACAGGTCCAGTGTGGCATGAAACACGTCGTTCCAAGCCGACCCCCCACTGCAACTGCAGTTGCTAAGCCGCAGGTCGGGCACCTGCTGAACTGAGTTCACTGGCCTTCTCCCCCTTCTTGGTGACTGGTAACATTGCGTATTTGGCTCCAAACTTCCACGGGCTGCTACCGGCTTCTTGCAGGCTTTGGGCAGGCTGAAGATTCATATTAGCGAAAGGATTTATGAGACTGTTGGTATGCCAAGCGTCAAGAATTAGCGGCTGCGCACACCCCCCAGCTAAGTTGGCCCATGCTTGTTGAAAAAAGCCCCATGGAAGCACCTGCGCTTTTGCGACTCAGGGCTGGGGGAAAATGTTTCCCCTCAGTAAGCTTTCCGAATGCGGGGCCAGACATGTAATCCCCATCGAGGTCGATGCCCCCCATGGGATTGCGGCAGCTTCATTCTGGGTGGGAGCGTCGGCATGCTTTCTCGGTCACCATTTCGTCCAGCCCTGCTCGGGTATTCCCCCCCGAATTCCACCGTCGTCTCACTCCCCTGGACTCGGGTTCGCTCGCAGAACCCTTCTCGTTAAATTGGTTGAGGGCATACATTTGGAAGCTCTTCAGTCTGCGTCCCGTCGTGCACAGCGTGGACGCCTTCAAACATTGTAGCAGCGTAACGGCTGCCGCTACCCGCTAGTGCTCCGCTCTCCGGCTCTCTCTCTTGCTTGCTTGCTTGCTTGCTACCGGGCGTGAAGAAGCTGCAGCGTCCAGGCAGCTTCTTCGTGCGCGAACGCACCCCCGCTTGGTTTAGCAGGGAGTCCATTCCACCCTCAGCAACTTTCGCCAAGGGGCTCGGCTTTGCAGGATCAAAAATCCCCCCGTCAGAGCTTCCCAAAAACCTCTAGCCGCAGCAAACACCATAACCGTCCAAAACAACAAACCTGCTCTGACGTGGCACAGTGTGGTAAAAGACTCAACCTCTTCACCGTCACAAAGGGCTCGAACTCTTTACAGTCACCGGCCTGTGTTAAAATCCCCCGGCTGGCTCTCTCTCTCTCTCTCTCTCTCCCTCTCCGGAGCATGCGGCACGGGTCAGGTCCTCCTAGTTAAAAACAAAAAATCTGTGGAAAGAAGCGGCCAAAGCCATGAAGTCTGCCTTTTCCATGGCGGTTCGGAGAATGACGCACGGAATTGCGAAATCGAGCGAATCAGAGTTTTACGTCGCGTGGCTCAAGCCGGGGGTGGGTTTCGACTTGAGCCAACATGGCTACGGTCTGTGTCTCTGCCTGTGTCTCAATCTGTCTTTCTGTCTGTCTGTGCTTGCGCGGTAGTTGTACCTAGCCGTAAGGGCAGAAGCCGGATCTGGATTTTACATCATCGAGACCGTATACCCTCCAGCGTTTACTGTTGTGAATAGCCTTCATAGCTTGTAGACGATCTTTCACAGCCGTCCCAAATCTCGGTACCACCACCAAGCTTCGGAGCGCTTCAAAACCCACGGCAACTGTCAATTGACGATTAACGTTAGTGGTCTGGAGTCCTCGAACGTGTCGAGTTCCACATCGCATTGTGGGTGGACCGTTTGCTTGCTTTGGAATCTCATCAGATGGCGTAAAGATGGCAGCTATCATCCATGCTATTGTGACTACTATTTATATCACCAACGTCAGTTATGTTGAGAACGTCACTAACATTAGTCATGTTACTCACATGATAAATATGCGAAAAATAATACTCCTACTTTCACCATCTCTACTGTTATGACAAAAATACTATTGTCGTTGTTGTTTAAACTACTGAGATTACTACTCTTAATAATTGCGCCGGCCTCTCCATGCGCAAGCTGCTGCGCGTAGCCTTCGGCTCTTGGGCTGGTGGGGGAGGATCCAGGCAGCGTAATGTGACTTGATTCGATACGATATCATCAACGCGTACATATACGTATACATATACATATACATATACATATACACATACACATACATACACATACACATACACATATACATATACATATACATATACATATACATATACATATACATATACATATACATATACATATACATATACATATACATATACATGTACATGTACATGTACATGTACAACTACATATCCATATGCATATCATATGCATATGCATATGCATATACATATGCATATACATATACATATGCATATACAAATACATATACAAAAACATATACATATACAAAAACATATACAAATACATATACATATACATATACATATACATATACATATACATATACATATACATACACATACACATACACATACACATATACATATACATATACATGTACATATACATATACATATACTTATACACATATATATATGTGTAAGTGTCTATGTATGTGTATACATATATATATATATATAGAGCGAGAGAGATCACATGTACGCATAAAAATGTGTGTGCATATACACGTATATAAATATAAATATGTATATATATATACATACACATACGTAAATACATGCCTATATGCATACATGATGCAGGGCTGCCACCCCCCCCTCCCCCCTCCCCCCTTCCCCCCCGCCCCACCTGTGTGGGGCCTGTGGTGGTACTCTTTTTGCCGCGACGTTCTTCTGTGTTACTCCTTGTCTTCCCTCTTTCTGTGGCACCGGTGATACTGCTCATGATGTTGTGCTGCTCTAGACCGGGACATGAGTCGACAATCAGACCATGCTCAACATCAGCCTTGTCGTCGTCATCTTCATCATATTAATACCTTCAAAAGAGTATCTGCCACCATCACCATCGCCATACAACCCTCATAATTCAGCATTGCAATGCATGTCAGATGCTGGAAACTACTGCGCCGATTGCCGCTTTCCGCACACGGCAGGGCATAGTGCGACACTCCCGATCCGCGCACAAGGTCAAGGGGCGGGCAAGGTGCGGGCCGGGGCGGGCCGGGGCGGGCAGGGCGGGTGGGCGTGCAGCAGCAGGGCAGCAGGGGGTGGGGGGGGGATACCATTGGGGGGGGGGGGGGGGGGGGGGGGGGGGGGCAGGGGGTGGTGGCGGCCCGGGACCCCGAGAGCATATATATATATATATATATACATAAACATCTATACATCTATACATCTATACATCTATACATCTATACATCTATACATCTATACATCTATACATCTATACATCTATACCTACATACATATATACAGATATACATATATACATATATATACGTATATAGATATGCGCATATATACCTATATACTTATGTACCTAGACACCCCTATACCTTTGTACCAGTACTGTAGCATAATACACTGTAGCATGGTACGCTGATCAGAGCTTCAAGCCAAGAGCTTGGGCTCTGACGGCAAAGGTCTGCTGAAGATATGATCTCGTGTTGCAAACACAATCCTGAAGCATCAAAGCCTGCAGCGCTGCAGCTGTTCCGAAAGCTCTGTAGCCCGGTGCACACCGGCAAAGCCTAATCCCTGAAGAAATCCAATACCCTAACAATTGGCGGAGGCGGGGGTGGTTTAAGGCGCAGGACCTTGGGCTTGAAAGTTTAGTCTTGTTGATGTAGGTCCTTCCTTTGACAAATCGTGCTGCTGACGTCCGGAGGCGTGTCTTGACTGCGCTGAGACATGGAAAAGCTTTACGAAGTAGCATTGACTGTATGCACCGGCCATCAACTCACAATATCCTTCTTCAGCAATGCTTACACAGCGCTGCTGTATGGATTCTTGGATATAGTAATCGGGTGAGACACGAGTGTCCAGACTCCCCAAGACCTTTAAACATGCCAAACTCTTTGCGGGAAGATTTTGCAGACAGGGCACCTTTTTCTTCCCCGCGGGGCTTGATGAAGTCGTAGATGCTGTAGCCCTTTCCGAGAGCATGAGACTGAGTCCAAAACGGATTGCAAGACGGGTGCGTGAGAAACGAACAGTATAGAAAAAATGGCGAGCCCCGACAAACCAAGGCCGCTCCAAAGCGCAGCCGCACGAAAGAAAAAGGCCAAGCCAAGCCAAGCTGAGGAAAGCCACGCTAAGCCGCACCAAAGCGAGAACAAATAAAGCCCGCTTAACATCGCTTAGGATCACATTACATACCGTTACATACCATTAAACAACAGTACGTACCGTTACATACCAGCACACCATTACATCCATTACCTTGCCCCGCATTTCAAAACACTACACTCGCTGAGTGCCTCTACTCTCTGCCCCTAGAGGACGAGTTGCAAGCAAGACCCGTAGGCTTCTTCAAAAAAACTGACTTGGTAATGCTGTCATGCTCGAGAACCCTTCGAAGAAGCCCGAGCTAAGCTGTGCATGCTGTGCTGAAGGCCTGCACAAGCGTCACCACTTAGTCACCGGCGATGCCGTGGGCGTCGCGACACATTCCCGCGTAATTGACACAGTCACACTGTGCTACGATTTGCTCAGCATCGCCTGCTCGCTGATCTTGCTGCCTGGGCTGTAGTCGACGACCTGATTGATCTTGCCCTTCACCTGGCAACGAACTGAGGAAGTTCCCAAAAGGAACAAGAGGGATGCAGAAGATGACTTCCAAACCATCTCAATTGTCAACAGCACTCCGATCTTCTTCCTCGTTGCCCTGAAGCACACTCTTAGACTCGTCGTCCATGCATGACAACCCAGAAGTCGCGAAACACAAATCATGATACGAAGGAAAGACTCATAGGAATTAGCATCGTCACGTTTGCAACGAGTCTGGGGGTACATCACGAGCCCATGAATAAGCCAAACTGGAGTTGAGGGGAGGCCTCCAGATCCTTTGGCGGCCAGATGTCCAACACGGTTCCCGCAGGCCTTCGGTGAGGACTTCTTTGGAGAGTTGAAGCCTTCGGGCCTAGCGCTCGCCTTAATGAATCAATGTTTCGGGACCTGTACTACTTCTTACTACCATTGGTACCACTACGACCCCCACCACTGCTGCTGCTGCTCCGACTAATTACTGTACTGCTGCTGCTGCTACTACTACTACTACTACTACCGCTACTACTACTACTGCTACTGCTACTGCTACTGCTACTGCTACTGCTACTACTACTACTACTACTACTACTACTACTACTACTACTACTACTACTACTCCTACTCCTACTCCTACTCACTCCTACTCCTACTACTCCTACTCCTACTCCTACTCCTACTCCTACTCCTCCTACTACTACTACTACTACTGCTACTACTACTACTACTACTGCTACTAGCGCCACCACGACCACTGCTACTGCCGCTGCCACTGCCACTGCTACTGCTACGGCTACTGCCACTGCTGCTGCTACTGCTGCTGCTACTGCTACTGCTACTGCTACTGCTGCTGCTACTGCTGCTGCGACTACTACTACTACTGCTGCTAAGGCTGCGGCGGCTGCTGCTGCTGCTGCTCTGCTACTGCTACTGCTGCTACTGCTGCTACTGCTGCTACTGCAGCTACTGCAGCTACTGCAGCTACTGCTGCTACTGCTGCTACTGCTGCTACTGCTGCTACTGCTGCTACTGCTGCTACTGCTGTACTGCTACTGGCTACTGCTACTGCTACTGCTACTGCTACTGCTCTGCTACTGCTCTGCTACTGCTACTGCTACTGCTACTGCTACTGCTACTGCTACTGCTACTGCTACTGCTACTGCTACTGCTACTGCTACTGCTGCTGCTGCTGCTACTGCTGCTGCTACTGCTACTGCTACTGCTACTGCTACTGCTACTGCTACTGCTAATGCTGCCGCTGCTACTGCTTCTACTTCTATTACTACTTCTATTACTACTCTGTTGCATAACATATTGGCAACCGAGCGGCTGCATCTGGCTCTCCTTGGCCCAGATGCCCAAGTATCCTGCGAGGGTCTGACGTGGATGCTGGGCCTGAGCCCGAAATTCTACCAGCCTGTGCTCATTTTCGAGGTAGTCTCACCTGTTCCCCTAATCAGCACATTACTGTAGCACCTTGCTACAACTCACCTGACCTCCGGCGGATGCAGGTGCCGAAGCGTCCTTTCATGTCGTTGAGAGCCTCGTTGATGAAAAAGGCTTCCTCCACGACCGGTCCGATGGCCGAAGTGAAATATCTCAAGTGTCGGTCAAACTCCTCGTTTGCGTTCCTTGGCTCTCCAACACCTCAGGAAAACCTTCCCTACGAGCCTCTGCATCTTCTCTGTACGGTCTGCTGCACTCGAGAAACAGCATATCGCAATCGCAGTTTACTTACTCTGCCACTGCCACCTTGCGTGCACATGTACGGATTCGCCGGATAGATGCATGCATGCACACATGCAAAACCACATAGAAGACAAGCCCTGCACCACATCACACTTCTTGTGTAAGAACGGGCAAAGAGCGACTATGCCACGGCATCCTAGCAACCGTAGTACTTGTTTATTATATCCTGACACCACAAGTCGCAGCATAGCATGCCATGATTCTCGTGCATTTAGCTGCAGAGCTGTAAAAGCTGCAGAAGAATCCTCACAGCTCGACAGCGCAGCAGCCCTAGCAATCGCTACAAAAGCCGTGCCAGGCGGCTTGCAACATTGCAGGATGTTGTTGCAATGGCACATGCGAATATGCTGTGCAACATAAAAATAACGCCATTTTTGGAAATGACATGTGAGAAGTAGTAGAACCTCAGCTGATACGTGGATACGAGATTCCGACAACACTTGTCTAATCTGTTCGAACTTGGCAGCCTGGCCCACTTGCGGAAGAGAGTCCTTGCGGCCCAATCATCCATGGCCCCTTTCAGAGATTCGAAGAACCACTTCCGAGTCTCCTTCCAGTGGGTGACCTGGCGACTGACGGGTTTCACTCTGGGGTGTGGCTGGACTGGCTGTAAGTTAAAACGATCGAAACGGGTTTGGTCTAGCGGCCTATTCAACTAAGTACGTGCACGAACTCAAATGTAATCAAGCAGATGGAGACCTACATACGGAGACATCTCGAGATTGCACGGAACACGTCTGCACTCTCAGTGGACATAGCGAGAAGTGGCTCTGGGCCGCTACGACCGACCTCCACGGTTACACCGCGACAAACACTAAGCCACTAAGCCACCAAGCACGTTGGTGATCGCTCGCGCGGGGGAAGAGGTGCGCTTTCGCCCCGACCCTGCCTCCGGGATCACTGCGCCGGGATTTTTGCCTCGCCGTTTGAAGTTTGCAGAGAAACTGCTTGCAAAGGAAAACAAAGTTCCGGAAAGGCAGGATTCGCGAAGCATGAACGCTCCAAAAAGTGCTTTGGAACCGGTAGAAGTACGAAGCTTCCACTAATACGCACACAGCTTCCGGCAGCTTCCGCCTTCACTGCAAGCCAAGCCACTGGTCCGGCCCTGAACCTTCCATTCCCCGAATTTCTTGTCATTCTTCTGAATGACGGTGAGCCTCTGAAGCACCGGCTGAGGTCACGCAGCCGGGACTTCGGTAGCGACGACCAACCGACGAACACTCTCTTGTGGCGACAGGTTAGAAGCTCAGGCCACGTCTTGCTCGGTACTTCTGTCAAAGGTGACGGATTGCTGCCAATCTTCGAGTACCTCAGCTTCCCGTCGGGCACAAGCAATCACAAAGTTACTGCCACTCAGCCCACGCATGACCGTCGAAGAAGCGGTGCCGAGGTGAGGTCAGGATTGGATTTTTGTTGCGAGGGGTTGCGGCCCGCCGGTTCAAGCCTTTCTCTAGGCCCTCAGTTAGACTCCTCCACACGTCTTAGCCCTTCTTCGGGTGGGCGCATGTGTACATGATACGTGGAGTGCTTCCATACTGAAGTGCGTTGCGAAGCGCATGAAGATGGAATTCACGGATGGGGAACGGATGAAACATGATCTGGAGGCCCGCAGAAACTGCTATCCTTGCGACCCCGACGCCAAGCACCCGAACTGCTGGGAAGCCCAAGACTCCTGAATCTTCAGCCTGAGTTACGGATACTTCTTAAACAAGGCAAATGCCTGTGATCGCCCTAAGAACTTAAGAATTCTGCACCTACATTGGAGCACGCACCGGTACAAACACTGCACAGACCTGCACACCTGCCGACACAGAAACATACCATTCCTGCCGTGGCTCGAGCTTGATGACAAGCATGATTTGCCGGGTTTGTCGCCTTGTTAAGAGGTCAAGGCTTCCAGATTCTGGCCTTTCCCCTTTTGCTATCATGTACGACAATCACTACCTCGCTCGTCAGATCTAGTGGTGCTGCAGCACCAACTGCCCTCGTCAAGACTCCAGATAACTCTTCGACCTACACTCGGCTACCGGCGACAGACCGCCTCGTGCTGTTCGCTCATACCGCTCTGCTACGGTGAGTCGTGTTTCAAACTAGTTCGCCTGGTTCTACCCGGTAGAATCTACCGTTCGCATCAGTACGACAGTCGGCGCAGGAAACACAAACTCAGTTTAAGCATGAGGCCACCGAGAGGCCGCGTTCAATGCTGCCAGAGCAAATGTTACCAATATTCATCCATCCAGGGCAGAGGTGCGAACGGGCGACAAGTGACAACCACAGTCGCTGGACATTCGGTTAACTGTTAACTCCAGCACAACTGAGCCGCTTATTTGAAGAGCGATGCCGCCACGTGACAAAGGATGATGTGGTCGACCACGCCGGGACTGTCCTTCCTGCACTTTCCGGTCTTCTTGTCCTTAGTGAACCCCATCGCCTGCTAGGGTGTGCCGATGCCAGGTTCGGGCTGAAAGGTTGTCTACAGTTGGGCATGCTGAAACGAAAAGCTGCCAGGTCGACCCCGTGGAGTCCACACTTTTCCGACAGCACGTCTGGACAGCACACACATCCTGCAGTGGCAACTAGATCTTGGCATCGTGCCATGAGGCAGCGCCCCCAGAGGCGCTCCGCCCAGTACCAGTCAGGCCCTTAGGAATTCCGATCAAACACTCCAGGGCGAAGGGGTCCACGGGTTGAGAGAGGCCTACGAAAAATTTAGATGGCGGCGAGTGGTATCAGAAATTGTCCGGCTCGGGCTTTGGAGTTACTGATTCCGGGCAAAGGTCTCTGTATGGATCGCCGGGGCAGTCTCGCACATCCGAGGACTGACGACTGGGAAACTTGAACCATGTCTCCTTGCCTCGACCGCAGACTTGACATCCTGTACTCGGAAGAGAAGCCCTGAATGCAATGAACCTGAATCGCAAGAATATGATGAGAACAGCACTGGCGGCTGTGGAACCAATGGAATCGTTCCGTGACAGGGGGGGCGCTTGCAAGAAGCTCTTGAGATGTTGCAATCCATGCTTTGTGCGTTGTGACCTTCAAATCTCAAGATTTAGGGAGGGGCTCTCTGAACCCAAAACGGTACTCAGACAAGTATGTGCTTGCCCGTCAACACCTCGAAGGGCCACTAGTTACTGGTCTCGGAAACGTTCCCAGGCGCCGAGAGGGTTTGTCTCCTTCCTGTGATCGGAGAGACCCGGCGGAGTTCCTGTGGATCATATAGGCCCGGGCAGCTGTAAGAATCATGGGGACATTACGGACGTGGAAGCAATACAAGAACACGACAAGCAGAAGATGAGGAAGAAGAGGCGACGGCCAAGAATAGCGAGGCTAATGCATTGTAGTCCGTGACTATGACAGAGAAGGCTAGCAGCTCGGACTCCCACGAAGACGCTGGCCCAAGCTCGACACAGAACTGAGACGCTTCAACTTTCAACTGAAGCCCGCATCCCAGACTTCGCTTTCAGGGAGGAATTCAGCTGTGTACTAGTCGGACGAAGGTTTACAGTTGACATCCGCATTGGAGATTTCAGGTTCGAGCACGTCGCGGTGCACTGCGAGCCTTGGCTCTGCATTTCAAAGATCTCTTCGTAGGAATAGAATACCGCCTTTTCCCTTGGCCAGCATCAGAATGAGACGCAAGCTGCTGCAGAAAGGACAGTGAACTCAAGATTACGTAACTCCGAGGTAGCCGTGATTTCCCGTGGCAGTGGTCATCATCACTCTTTCGAGATCTCGCTGCGACTGCGAACTTGCAGCCGAGGCTCTTTGCCTTCTGCCCCCTCTTCGGCTCAGGATCAGTCCAAATGAACCTCGGCGTATTTGCACAGGCGAAACTTTCTGTGACGAAGAAGGCTTGAGACCCTTCAGAACAGAACACGCAGGATGGACTCTGCCCAAGGCACCTCAAGCCTCCGGGAAGGTCCACGCCCCGCTCGTCCTGCATCCACAGAACAGAGAGACTCACCCTCGTCACGGATCTGGGCCTTGAGCTCACGATGTTTGCGAGTTCTCCACAGCTGTGGAAGCACGAGAATCCGAAATGCTTACGGAGGATCGGTCCTTTCTTCTCCAGAGCTCTGGCTTGTTGAGGTTGGGCCGCAGGAACTCCGTCTTACCACCTCGAAGCAGGGCCTACTCGGAGGTTACAGGTGCCAAGCTGCGATTGGTGGCTTATGAAGTTATAGACTCTACAGTAGACGTTGCATTCATCAACCCGAAATTTCCAGCACCTGAAACCTAGAGGCCTCAACTCACACTTGTCGCACCGCTCAAGGTTGTGTTGGAAGTTCCAAAAGCTTGGAGGTTCAATTGTCAGGTTGAGGCAGTCGAGTAAAGCACATGCGACAAATAGATGCCACACACACACACATAAAGCTTAGTGATCTGTGCATTTCAGGGTCAGCCTGGACTCATTCCTACAGAGGTCCCATTGGACTGGTACTAGTATTAGTGTTGGCTTACAGTATTGGTCACTCCACGACGCTCTCCTAGTACGCGCTCGCCACAGTGCAGTGTGCACTCTAGGCGGCAGGCTATTGATGAGTTCCAAATTGCAGAGTTTCTCTGCGGCAAGCTACTGGTCAATTAAACGAATGGCAGGGTCCTGCTACGCAGGACACTGTTGAAAAGGGTTTGGCTTGGCTTGGCGTGGGCTGGCTTGAATTGCTTTGGATTGCTTTGGTTTCAGTGGGTATGGGAGGGGGCGGCTGGCCCCTCGCCCACATTCACACAGCTGCCAAAATGACGACCCAACAACATCCATATCAAGTACCAAACTTTGCGCGCCAAAATGCTCGTGAGTGTCACGTCCACGCAGCCTTTCTGTGGATTGGTCTTATCACATTCCTCGAGCACGTCCTTGAGCTCGTAGCACCTGTGTTATGCTTACGATGCGAGATTGCCCTCTTCGCAGCAGGGAAAGCAGTACTTTGAGTTGCAACGAGCTTGGAGTTCAAGCCTGTTGCGTCGAGCTCCACTGCTGCCGCTAGAGCTGCTGAAGTCTAGAGCGAGAAGTTGGCGAAGACCGGCGGTTTGCCGCAAGATCTGCCAGCCGTTTAAACTGTAATACTACTGCTGCAATACACGATCATCCAGTGCGGCCAGTGAGAAAGACATCCTCCTAAACACAACTGAAGGTTCTACGACAGAACTGCATCCAGCCAACATTGTAAACCATACCTAAAGTCCTAGAGCATGAGGCTGTTGTGAACGTCAGCCTAGCATCCACACATTGTGCAATCTTCCGACCAGCAACACATGATGCACAACCTTTAGCATGGGAACACGTTATACTGGGAGACATCTACCAAGCATCGCTCACGACATCACATCTCATGACAACTCACGCGTGATCTATTGTCGGCGTGCACGCCACTGAGAATGCTAGCTAAGAGCAAGTGCGAATGCTCACAACCGGGGACAAACAAACATATCCCACATAAAAAAAACTGTACATGTCTCAAGAACTTGGACGGTCATGCCTTAACGCCAAAAGCCGCCGAGGTGCCATGAAAGGCTTCCGGACATCTCCTCGTAGCTGCTGAGGTTGGCCAAATACCTCATCCAAGCCAGGGTTTCAGGGGATGTTTGCATCAGTCGCGCGGGCTTATTATAAGTGCTTAGGTGAGTTAGCACACTCGAGCAAGTGAATAAGTCCGCGAAGTGGGCTTACAAGCCATGTAGGTCGACGTAGTCAGCCAGGGCCAACCGGCAGCCGACAATCTGCAGTCACATAGCTGATGTAATACACCGATTAGGTGACTCCATCATTTCCAATATTTCGACTTACTAACTCACTTGCTTCACTCACCGGAGCATTTACAAGCCCACGCGTCCATCCAAATTATAGCTACAGTGTCTTGCGCACAGAGGCCTGAGTACGTACATGGAGAAAGGGCCTCCTACCTTTCTACATACGTTCCTGTGGGTTTCCCCCAAATGCGCACATACGCCTGCACATCTATACAAGTATATGTCTAAATGTAAACATGTATGGTATGGTCTATTCATCGCGCAGTTTTCCCGCTGTTCATGCGCATCTCTACGGGATTCTATCGGTACACTTCATGCATGCAGGCGGCTTGGCCATGAGCTGTGCTGGCGTCTTGCCGTTCTCGGGATCACACTCAGGTCGACCTTGGGGGCTTCGTCACTTCAGCGCAGACTAAGCTTGGTGATCGAGGTTGGAGACCTTTCCCGAAGTTAAGCTGCATGGCTTCCAAGGAACCCAAGCCTCAGACCAAAGCAGATTTTGAAACCTAGGCGCCCCCCCCTACAGAATGAAGCCGGCTTCGTCAAGCGACCTGATCATTCTTGAGATGACAAACTGATGACTTCAAGGTTCGATAGATGGCTAAACACTCATGCACAGATGGATGTATCACGCAGTCGAGAGAGCGTCCAAAGGCAACCGATTACTACACTACGACTCTGCTACTTCCACCTGCTACTGCGACTCCTACTGCCACCGCTTCAATACAGCTACTCGAGCATGGCTTCTGTTGTTTAGGGTTCAGGGGTATGTCCTGGCCTGGACGATTGATAAAGCGGAGAAAGCCGCTCACCATAACCTCGAGTTGTGCTTTGATACTCCCGAGCTGCAACGGCATGGAGGAGCTGAGATCATGCAACAGTATACAGGCACTGGGGCGACTCAGCGCAGTGCAATGCAGACAAGTGCATCGCCACCAGAAAAAACACACTGCATGGAAATATCGGATCCTATCCTATCGCCGGGGCGGAGGTCCAAAGAAGGCCGGGCGGCCGCAGGATCCTCGGAGCCCGCAAGGTCTACCGTCGAGACGGGCGCCACTTTGCCTGGCGAGCTCTTCCGACAAGAGCACTCCTCCAATTACTAAATGGGCAGGATTGACCCCCCAACCGCTGAATAAGGAAGACGTTCTACAAAATTCGTAGACAGCCGCCTGACTTGTAGTGGATGTTGGTGAGCACGAAGAGCGTCCCGCGGGAAGACTTCGGATTGTTGACAGTGCCACCTCTGCCATTTCAGACTTTGAAGCCCGGGGAAGAACGACAACCAGAAAGCTGGTGCAATTGCTTCCTGTGAACCCCGAACCTTCACAGCTTAGGGCGCTGGCGGATGTGTGCAATCGGCTCACCCCCAGCTTTGAACTGATCCTCTTCGATGCGGATGTCCTCGTGGACTTCCACGAGCACCCAAGCATCTTTACTTTTTGGAACATCCCGGTGCTGAGTACTCTATGGCTCCATGCAACCTTTTCTCACATTGACCTAGAGAAGGCAAAGTCTGCGGCTGCCCGGGTGCTGCAACGGGCGTCTCAATCTCACAACCCACCCAAGGCATCCTCAATGACGGTCAGGAGTTTCTTGACCTCCGCAAGAAGCTTTCGCGATTTTTTTCAATCCTGGTAGAAGCAAATCAGACCCTTGCGCTGGGGCCGCCCGAAAGGATTATGATAATTCCAAGCCCGAGAGCGTTCGAGGTGATAGCTCTGAGGCTCACCGCCACTATCGGGGAGGGAGCTCTTTGCACGATCTCGATACGCCCTCTTTTTGCGACCCCAAACTCCCAAACCCCAATACTTCAATCGGAGCCTGCATCTCAAACTTCCCGCCTCGTCCTGCCAGGCCACCGTGCCTGACATGGAAGCCGGGCTTTCGGCCTCTCATGGCGCGACTTTAAAGGGAGAGAGGGCCTGTGACAGAGGCTGCGTACTGGGAACGGTTTCTACCGTGATCCTGGTCTAGATTCCGATACTCCTTGCATTCTGAGTGCTCTTACTGCACTTACCAACAGCAGTCATCACACTTTAACAGTTAACACCAGCCGTAGGAGAACAAGAGGAGGAGGCGAGAGGCGCAGTGAAATATCGAATTATCACTCTGGCCTCGGCAAGAGTACCCACCGACCGTTTCATTCGCAGCTGATTAGGACCAAATCTATCACAAGCCATCTGCAAAACGTGCAGCGCCGCCAGGACTACCGCGTGCATTCTCCGGGGTATCAACATGAGCCTGCAGTTGCCTTCACTACCGCCGACCATCACCACCAGCCTCATCCTCGTCGTCGCCACGTTCAGCAACTGGGACACCACCACCGCCACCACCACCACAACCGTCACAGCAATACGAGTAGCGAGGTCAATGAGACTGATGACTTCTTTGACCGCACCCCCGGCAAAGCCAACCCAAGCGGCCTTGACGCTGTACGTGTAGTCCTCATTATCCAGCTGTGCCTGGAAAAACGAAGGTTATTTGAAGGCTTCCTTTGTCGAGTTCGTCGCTCATTGTCTCGACTCCTTCTTTTACATGTCAAGAGTTCAACACTCCAGCTTTAGCCTGGACGCCCTCAAGCCCAAAGCACTACGAAATTCCTGAACTCCGATGACAAACAGGGCCCCCACTCCTCGAAACGCGGAAACAACTCGCCTCCAACTTCTTCATGTCCAAAGGCGCATGGCCTGGTGAACCCAAAAAGGCAGCTTGGGCTGTTCTGGGGCAAGGTGAACTCAAGCATTGCCTCTGGGGTTCTGGGGTTTCATGGAAGAAACCTTGACGGTCAACTCTTCTACTGACATTAAGGTGGGAAGGTGGGACTGCCCCTTTCCCTGCAGCGACCTTGCACCGTATTCTGTCAACTATGCCAAAAACTGGGATCCACTGCAAAATGAGCACGGATGAAGATCCGCGCTGTGAGGGTCTGTAGGCACTTTGGCTGCAATTCTGCTCACAGCTACTTGGGAGCCGAAGCAAGGACAGAGGCTCCTCGCCAGACTGTCGAAGACCGTCAGGCGAAAGCGAACACTGGAGACTCTTGCACGTTGCACAACTCGGAGAAGCTGGTGGAATGGTTCTTGTCAATACCCGTCGAAGCATATCTTTGCGGGTACAGGCTCAATCTTAACTGGAACCTAAGACCAAGCCAAGACCCAGGACATCTCAAATGCCACGACCCGAAAGGGTGGCTGGCTTTCCTTAACTTCAAGCCCTTGGGCTAAGGTTGGGCCAAGATGCGGGGCGGCCGGTTCGCTTCTTCCTCAGGGTCATGCCTCAATGGATTTGAGATCTGGGTGAATTCCTTCTATTTTCCCGTAAGCTGGCTGAAGCTAACGGCCAGGATACCACTCATCTTCATCCTCGTTTTGCTCGGAAACCATGAAGGCTTCGGCAGTTCCCAGGTACTGCGCGACCTGCCATCGGCCGGGGATCTGGAGATGCACGACCGCACATGTGTAGGTGTCTCGTCTGAGAGCAGCACCTTCTCTTTCAGCTTGTACGCCCAGATTCCAGATCCCGTGTTCTTCTTCATGTGGCCTGTCTGTGTGCTCACTCGGCCATAGACCTGGGCAGAACTGGAGATCGGACCGTTTTCCCGCAGGAATCCTCGGCAGGGACCGTAGCCGAACTCGATAAACAGATTGCTTCCAGCGACGTTCACTGCACGACTTACTGTCTGCGCCCGCAAAGCCCAAGGACTCCCGAGTCCATCTGACCGAATTTATTCTATGTCTAGAAGGATGTTGCTGCTGCTGATGATGATGATGGTGATGCGGATGCTGACGTTGATGATGACGATGATTATGATGATGATGCTGGTGCTGGTGGTGCTGGTGGTGCTGGTGGTGCTGGTGGTGCTGGTGGTGCTGGTGGTGCTGGTGGTGCTGGTGGCGCTGGAGGTGCTGGAGGTGCTGGAGGTGCTGGAGGTGCTGGAGGTGCTGGAGGTGCTGGAGGTGCTGGTGGTGCTGGTGGTGCTGGTGGTGCTGGTGGTGCTGGTGGTGCTGGTGGTGCTGGTGGTGCTGGTGGTGCTGGTGGTGCTGGTGGTGCTCGTGGTGCTGGTGGTGCTGGTGGTGCTGGGGCGCAGAAGATGACGAGGACGACGAGGATGCATTACAATAGTAAACGTGTGGGTTCTTTGGAGCAGCCACGGGCCACTTCTGCCGCCGCAGCTTCTGCTGTGTCTGCTTGTGCTGCTTGCTCCTAGTACCAGTACTACCACTAGTAAACTAGTACCACTACTACCGTCGCTCACCACTCCACCACTTCACCATTCACTCAACCACCTCGAGCACCACCACCACGAATACGACGACCACGACGAAGACAACGACCACGACGGCCACAACCACTACCATCGCCACTACCATTACCACGACGGCGACGACTACTACTGCTGCTGCTGCTGCTGCTACTACTACTACTACTACTACTACTACTACGACTACTACTACTACTACTACTACTACTACTACTACTACTACTACTACTACAAGCATCTCGGCTGTCCAGGTGCCGAAGGGGCACACGTGCCGAATAGTCATGACCCCGCCGTGATCACGGCAAACACACGAATTTCCGGCGCTAGGGGTTCATGGCTTACGCTGCTTCACTGTTTACATTGATCACATGTCTGCTTGGCTTGACAAAGGGAGCGCTAAGCAAGCTGAAGAACGAGGCGAACTGTGGCGACCAAATTTTCACAAGATGCCTGCTGACCCCTCACGTGAGTACGCTCGACTTCTGTTTGGAATGCCGGCTCATCGAGGACACTTCTTACGGGCAATTGAGGGAGCTATGCTGGCAGGCACCAACGGCTATGTCCCCAACATGGGATTCTTCAACGCGTGGTCCATCAAGTGGAATGACAACCAGCATCCACTCCGTGCCCTGCAAGCTGCTCGGGCCTCACAATTCCCACCGGACGAAGAAAATCTTCGTAACTGGTGTAGCCTACACTACCCCGACCTTCTTCCTGAACTCGACCTGGGTACAACTACGACCTCCAGCAGTCACCAACCACGGCTGGACCTGGAAACCATGGACTAAGCCAGGCGACACTGACTCTCAACCTCATGCCTCAAATACCCAACCTCGCTGTCCAGGGAAGACCAGTCGACAATGGAGACTCAGAATGTCTTCACTTCGACGCCGGCGCAAGTACCGGCGACCCCGCAGAGCCTGCTTATTAATGCGACAGTCACGGCTGCTCAGGCGCTTGTGGTCGACCTGCAAATCCTTCTGGATCAAGTGCCCTGTGCATGTTACGAACAGTCTCTTTGCAGGATGGCACTCGTTGATGCAACAGCTCATGCATGTAAAGACCATTGCGAGTGTGCCTCACATGTGTGCACTTCTGATCCGAATGGCTCACAGCGGGCAGCTCTACTGCTACAGGTGCAGCATGGCGGACCACGGGTCTGATAGCGAGGCCATTGACCTGGAGGAGGCAGCTCGGGATGATCGAGGACACCCAGCGTTGCTGGGACCTTCGCCGGCGACCCCAGGGGGCACACCCCTGCCGCGTGGACCGCCGCCCCCACGGCCAGTTCAAGAGCAGCAGCAAATGGCCCATCACCTATCAGGACACATCGCTCAGGCATTCGCTGAAAGCGGGGTGCCAATCACCCAAGTGCTTACGATGATGCCCGATGCGTGGTGGCTGCTACGGAACATTCGAGTCCAGATCGACGAGCTTCCAGCGAGCTACTCAGAGCACCCCAATATTCTACATACGGGGGACCTCACTGACATCGAAGGTCAGGAGGAAGAGCGGGCCAACGAGGACACCGACCATGACCATCCCGACCGCGACCCGGGTGACGACACGGAGGCCAGAACAACCAGGGAGATCAGAACGGCCATGAACGCGGAAGGTCGGACTCTCATGACCTCTACGGAAACCGAACGACTGACAGCATTGATGACAGGGCTGCCAGAGGACGAGACTTCGAGCGAGGAGGACCTCTCCAGGGCCAGATCTTCTTCGGATTGGGTGTCGACGGATGCTCTTCGTGCTGCTCCCAGGGGCCCATGGAGCATGGAGGGCACGGCAAAACCAAAGCCCAAGCAGACCAGGAAGTGCGGGGCTCAATCGGTATCTCGAAAACTTCAGCAAATGTTCGCTTTACTATCTCTCGTTAACACCCCCTGTCGTAATACGTCAGGCGACCTCGCGAGGATAGACCTGAGTAGAGGTAGGACAGTGCAAAGGGCACAAGCTGCTAGCTGCAGTTTGGATTCGCGTCTCTTGCAGTGCACCATGCAAGCGAATCTGTCTTTCGTTGCACAACCTGGACGCCAGCTGCAGCAGAGCAAAAAGACGATACGCTTTGCCGAGTACATGTTTGCACATATGCTATCACTGCTCGGGTATGCACTGGAGCGTCACATATGGAGATTTCCTACCTCCTGGCCGGCCAGGTACTCTATCAGTTCGATGACAAAGAACGGGGCCGGTGACTCATATCTATATCAGCTGATGCATACCTTGAGTTTCTGCATTATATTCTTCATTGTCGTCCTGGGCAGGATGGCACAGCTCATGTGGAACTACTCAAGGACACGCTCTCCAACAACACGACAGGCTGGCATGTTCATAACCTTGACGAACTCCATTTACAATGACAAGCAGTTTTCATCCGAAGGCACGAAGTACCGCTACAACCACCACGACAGCTGGACTGGTCCCAAGTCCAGTCGTGCTTGCAGGAGCTCATGTTTTCTGATTTATGCCTTACTTCTTTTCTTTCTCTTAGCTCCAACAGCTGCAGCTGCAAGTACAGATGCGAGGGTTGACGTTCATCCCACAAGGACGTCTGAAGCCGTTACGGCGAAGCACGTGGGACTAAGGGAGGCCACGAACCCGGTCTTGCAATCAGGTATTTCCAGATGTGTAAAACGCAGCTACAAGCGCGCATACGCAAGGTCCTGCCGCGAAGGCGGCGCTTTTTATCGAGGCACATGGAGACATCATCAGTGGTTCCAGCCAACACCCCTGCGCACACAACCTCTGCCCAGGATGCAACCCAGGCAACCCAAAGGACACTTCCTCAGGATGATCACTTGGAACGCAGGAGGCCTACATGCATCCATCTTCCGCGAACTCACCACTTACCTTGCGGATGAGGGCATTGAAGTCTGTGTTGTACAGGAGACACATTGGAACTACGATGCCAACTGGAGCACCCCGGACTTTCACTTTGTGCATTCCTCAGGACATGAAAAGGAAGACAAACATGGAGGCGTCTTAACCATCATATCGACCAAGGTGGCGACCAACTTGGAACTGCAGTACCACGTGCTCTGGCCGGGTCGACTACTACATGTGCGAGTGAACAAACCTCAGCCAGTTGACATCCTGAATGTATACCAATACACAGCCAACGACAATCCACTTACTCCTGCGCGCAGGCACAAATATCTTCTACGACTTCGACACGCCCTCAGTGGTATCCCTAACCGCCACACTCTGATCTTGGCCGGGGATTTCAACACTACATGCGTCACTACCCCCAAGGTCTGTGGCAAGTGGGTACTTGCTGCCAGCGAAGCCCACAACAAGGACAACAACGACTTTATGTCCATCCTTACCTCATACCATCTCACAGCTTTGAATACCTGGAACAGGCCACCACACCACCAGTTGGCCACCTTCACGTTCGGCACGCTTGCTTCTCAGATCGATTACATCATATGCAGACAGGCTGACACAAACAATCAAGCCAAACAGGCAGCTGTCGTACAACATTTTCCTGTGGCAAGCTGGCGAGAAGGAGCAAACCATCATCCTGTGCAGGCACAACTCCGCATACCACACCACACTAGAACGTCTCCACCAATCTCCAAACCACCCAGGATTGACATCAACGGCATTATCGAGGACCTCAAGGCGAAAGAGCCCTCACAGGCCCTGCTCACTCTCAGAGACTGCATTAGCCAAGGACTTCGTGAAGAGACCTGGGACACCCTTCCACAACTGGAGGTTGGTTTGATCAAGGCTGCCCAGGAGCTCTATCCCAAGCACGCTCCCCACGACCCGAATCAAGAGGCGGACTTGAAACTATCACATTGTGCCCGTCGCATGTGGGCACTTTTTCGCGAGATGCGGACACATCCCTTCAACATGCACGGCGTCTTCCACTCCTGGAAGCAATGGGCTCAGTTCACCAAAGCACACAAAGAGCATAAACTTCGTGCCAAAGAGCGTAGCAAAGCATGGAGACGTGATCTTATTCTGAAGGCACAACAAGCAGCTGAAAACCACAACATGTTCCAGATCTGGGAGGTGGTCAAGAGTTTAGCACCGAAATCCAAGCGCAAGAAATTACAACTCTACAGGAACGGACACATGATGACTCCCGAAGCTGAGCTCGACTGGATCATCGAGGAGTTTGGCGACCGGTATGGGGCACGCGCCCCACCCACTCTACCACACATACGGCAACATGAGCCAGTTCTGATAGAACCTGCGGAGGTGTGGTACCAACTGGAACATCTACCGGTGCGCAAGGCAGTCCCGAATCACCTGGCTCCTTCTGTGCTTTGGAAAGCTTGTGCCTCCGAAGT